GTTATAGAAAAGATAAGAAATTAAGCTGAACAGACAGACCAAGAATCCAGAATACAACCTGATACACTTAATTAACAAAGACATCCCTTACATATGTTTTCCTAACATTTGGCAATTTCTTTTTAAAGAAAAACAGAAAGTGTAAAAGTAACTATTCCAGTTAGGTCTTACAGCAGGTGGGTCACAATGAAATGTTGTTAGATTGTATACTCTCTCACTATGGTCATTTCAAGTTCCAATATTCTATACTTTATTACACATGATGATCCTATGGAGTAATGTTTGCTTTTCCTTATCACTGCATAAAGCAATGTGCTTGAGAATAACCAGTAATCTATTATACCATAAATGTTTACACTTGTATTTGTATTTATACACATTTGAAAGCCCTCTCTAGAAAGACACCTCTCTAGTGTCTTAAGCAGCACCATTCATCTAAATTTGTCTATAGTGAGTTATTTTTGAGGTTGCAATTAAAGGTATGTTAAGTAAGTGGTACGTGCTGCTCTTTACTTGGCTACGGTGGCACATGGACAACATTAACTAATATATATAGTTCTAAGAATACCTAAAATATGCTACAAAAACAAGCAAAAGAAATTAAAAGTGTGAACTTTTTCACTAATGTAAAAACAAAGGTCACTAGTGAAAAAATAATCATTGGTAGACTAGAAATATTTCACTATACGTTTTTTGATAATTGTGACAGTGGTCTTGATGGGTAATACTTTTTCATGAAATATCATAAAAAGCTTTAAAATTATATATTGACAATTTTATCTTGTTTAGTTCAAGTAGCAAAATATATGTTTAAAATTATTTTTTTCATTTCCTCAAGACTTAATTTTTCTAAGTATGTAGAATTTTCCTACAAAGAGGCTAAAGACTTCAAAAATTTTTTTAAATCTGCTCTCAAATTCAACCCACATTAGTGGGAGACAAGGATAAAATGAACAAAATTCACAGATTAATACAAACCTTATCCATGTATTTCAACTTTCTCTACCAAACCTGTCCCAGAAATGCTAGCAATAAGCAAGATTGAACAATCTTAGTTACAAATCCCTTCACTAAACAGCAGTAATATTATCCCAAGAGAGGGCAGGAGTTATTAATAAAAGCAAAGGTCAAGGACAACCCTAAGATGAACGAATCATCAGTGTCTGAATAATCAAGTTTAGTGTATTGTAAAATTCAGAATTATGTTGCCTTCAAGGATGATGGCTAGTGGAGAGATTTTAACAGGCATCTTAATTATGACTAAAAAAACTTCAGGTGCAACTGGAGAATTCAGCTTGGAAAAGAAAAAGAATGGATGATGTAAGATGAATGTAATGGCAAATTTCTATTAATAATAAGAAATTAACTTCTAAGCACGTTTGTTATGGATACTGACTACCTATGGTCAGTAGTATGCTATGTAGTAAGATCTACAAAAACTCAAATATATTATATAATAATCTCAAACCTAACCCATCCAAAGCAAAATTTTTTATTTTTCCACTTAAACCTACTTCTTATCCAATCTTCCCTACATCATTAATAGTACCACTACTGCTTAGGCAATGGGGTTCTCCTTGTTCCTCTCCCTCATCTATCACATTTAATTCAACAGCAAACTTTGCTGGCTCTACCACCAAAATATATCCTCAATTTGACAACTAAATCCAGTGTTGCCTCTAACACTGCAATGTTCTGGTCTCCCTTCTTTCACTCTTGCCCCCTACAGTGTGTTCTCTGCATAGCAGCCAGAATCATCTTTTAAAAATATAATCACATTGTATGACCACCACATACTTACAACCTCCAAAGGCAGCCAACTACTCTTATCTCTTGCAAATACCTTTTGTGGCACAGAAGATCCTACATGATCTAGCTGTGCCATCCCCTTCAACCATCTCCTACCTCTCTCTCCATCACCACAACAATTTAACCACGGTATTCCTTCTGTACTACAAAAATGTCAGCAGTCTTATCTTTTCAGAGCCTTTCCATTTGCTGGTCCTTTCGCTTGGTAAACTCTTCCCTCAGATTATAACATAGCTGGCTCCTCTTTTATTATTTAGAAACCAGCAAAATGTTTCTTCATAACCCTATCTGAATTTAATTTGTTTATTTACTATTTGTTTACTGACTATTCCTCTTGGCGAGAATATAAGCTCCATGAGAGCAGTGACTTTGTTTTGTTTGCCATTGTATCCCTGGCATCAAGAACACAGAAGGCACTGTGAAATGAACACTCACTGCAAACTGAGAAGAGGCAAGCCCATGACCCCCACATCCACTATCCAGTCTTTTTTTATAAGGGGGAAAAAAGTCTTTGCTTGAACACTTAATATAAATGATCTTTGACCACGAAGCAAATAAGTAACCCTACAAAAAGACATTATAAAAGATTGATTCCTTACTCCTAACACAGTACTTCTAAATGGAAAAACCTGATTTTTAAGAATAGAACAATTAGATGTCAATGCAAATACATAGCTATTTTCACTGCACATAATATTTGAAAGATTTATCAATAACTATGTCAATAGTTCCTTCGGAAGAAATCAATTCAGTGCTATCAGCTGCAGCTTAAAAAAAAAAACAAAAAACCCTCAGACAGTAAATATCGCACAACACAAGGAAAAACACCACCTGCATTTTTAATAACATCTAGCTGGGCTTGGGTCTGGAGAATTTAACAATCTAATAAGAAATATTTGGTTATAGAAAAAACTCCAATTTAATAAATCTGTATTAAACACTAGTTTATCTAAGATTATCTTTTCAAACATCAAATCACCACTACAGTATTACTTAGAATCACTTTTGTATCTGCAAAATTTCAAAAATTTCCAAGGGACACAAACTACATTAAATAAAACAAATATTAAAGGCAGTTATATATTATTTACCTGACAAGCTCAGAAAACTCACACATGGCTGGTAAGTGGGAGAAAAAAACAAGTAAAAAACCCCATGTAGTACTCAAAACATTTCCAACACTAAAGTTGAATAATAAATATAAGAGATTATTTCTGATCTTTTCATGCATACACAAATCATGGCATACATAATTCCATTAAGCTTACCAATATGGTATTTTTATCCATAAGGGGATTGTTTGCTAAAGTGAAGCCCCTCACAATAAAAGCAGTAAATTGGGAGCTCATAGCATCAAACACGGGAGAGGGGGAAAAAAACACACTGTAAAAAACAGAAATAAAAAGTAATAAACACAAGCACCTGGACCCATTCAGAACAGCTCATAGACACTCCTAACAGCTTATAATCAGATATTACTATGTATTACACTAATACCACTAAGTGATCATCTCCTAATACAATCTTTTTTTTTTTTTTCGAGACAAGAGTCTCACTCTGTTGCCCGGGCTAGAGTGAGTGCCGTGGAGTCATCCTAGCTCACAGCAACCTCACACTCCCGAGCTCAACCGATCCTACTGCCTCAGCCTCCCGAGTAGCTGGGACTACAGGCATGCGCCACCATGCCCGGCTAATTTTTTCTATATATTTTTAGTTGTCCGATTAATTTCTTTCTCTTTCTAGTAGAGACGGGGGTCTCGCTCTTGCTCAGGCTGGTCTCGAACTCCTGAGCTCAAACGATCCGCCCGCCTCGGCCTCCCAGAGTGCTAGGATTACAGGCGTTAGCCACCGCGCCCAGCCTCCTAATACAATCTTGATTATTTACTAGTGTGACTTTGGGCAAGACCTTTACAAGAAAACAAAACCAAAAAAAAAAAAAAATTAATAAAAGGGCCAAATAAAAGAGGCCAAATAAGTCCGTTCAACAGGTTTTAGCCATAAAAAGGTGGGGCACAGGGTTGGCAAAAAATGTAAAGTCAGAAGTCAAAGTCAGTTTAAAGCCTTAAAAAAGTTGGTTTCATTCTTAATGCTTTAGAACTGCTACTTCTACAAAAGAAAGTTTTGACATCCAGTATCTAGTAATACATAGAATCATTTTTCCTATTTTAATTCTCTGACTACTCATGTGTACCACAGTATTATCAACAATATGACAGATGATTTACTAAAACTTGCTGGATTTGTAAGTGCAAATGACAAGAGATTTTACTATAAGAATGTAATTTTTAATTTTATAAATAGGATTTGGGGACAAAATGGGATTTAATAAAAAAAAAAATCGACTTCGTAAAGTAATTCTTGATGAAGTTTTAATGCTTTTAAATAAAGAACATCCAGAAACAGAACACATCTAAAATATATAATTTTAAGGCTTTCAAAGGTTCATGTCCATCCCACATGCAAAATACATTCATTTCATCCCAACATCCCCAAGTCTCAACCATTACAGAATTAACTCAAATCCAAAATCTTATTTAAATATCACCAGCTCGAAATTCACAAATCTCATTATCTAAATCAGATATAGATGAGACTGGGTATGATACATCCTAGGACAAAATTCCTGTCCATCTGTGAACCTGTGAAAGTAGAAAACATGTTATCACTTCCAAAATATAATGGTGGGACAGGCATAGGACAACAGAGATTTTCTCATTCCAAAAGGGAGAAAATGGAAGGAAGAAAGGAGTCACTAGTACCAAGCAATTTCAAAATCCAGCATGGCAAATTCCATTAGGTTTCAAGGCCTGGAAATAACTGTGGCCTGCAGCTCCACCCTCTGGGCCTAAAGCTTTGCCCTTAGAGTCATTCTTCCTTTTTCCTGAAGGGAAGCACATGTTTGCAGCTGAGCAGTTTTATTAGCCTGTTTCCTGCCTGTGGAATTCTGGGAGTTCACCAGCCTTCCTTCGTTTTGTCCTGTCAGTTCAAGTTGCATTTTGAAGTTTTGATTCTCAAAACCCTTGTGGGTCACATGTGTATGTCATGAGGGTTCACACCATTAGATAAGAGGGTCCTCCACAGATTTTCACCAGATCTCTATTCCTGACTTTTTGCTAATGATTGAGGAGATCTGAGTCACATGCCTAAATCTCTTTAGCACTAGCAAAAGGCTATCTTGTCACACTCTAGGCTTTCTCTCCAGAGAATACTTTCCTAACAGTGAATCTCCTAATTTTAGTGTCTTCTGCAATCTAGACAGGCTGAGAATTTCCGAAATCATCAAGTCCTGGATCCTTTTTTTTAACAGTCTTCCCTCAATTTATCCCTTTCCTCTCACATTTTACTATAAGAAGTCAGAAACAGGTTCCTTTGCCTCCATGGCTCAGCTGCCTGGCGTGTCCAGCCATCAACCCGAAGAAACCAGAAACCAGGCCACACCTTCAATACTTTGCCAAAAAATCTGCTCAGCTAAATATCCAAGTTCATTGCTTGCAAGTTCTACTTTCCACATAATTGCAGGACACAATTCAGCTAGGCTTTCTGTCACTACATAACAAGGATCTCCTTCCAGTTTCCAAACACATATTCCTCATCTCCTTCTCAGGTATGTTTAATGTTAATATTTTTACCAAAAGTATGTTTATGATATTAATATTAATATATGTATTCTATAAGATGATATAGGCTTTCTCTCTCATGCTCCTTTCTTCTGAGCCCTAACCAGCAGTGCCTTTAATATGCACATTTCTACCAACAGTCTATTCAAGGTAATTTATACTTTTTCTATCAGGCACCTCCAAATTCTTCCAACCTCTACCCATTTCCAAAGCTATTTCTACATTTTTAGTTATTTGTTATATAGTACCGCACTTCCTAGTACAAAAATATGTATTAGTTTCCTGTAGCTGCTGTAACAAATTACCACAAACTTGGTGGCTTAAAACAACAGATATTTATTCTCTCACAGTCTGGAGGTAAACTCTGAAATCAATATCCCTCAGCCATACATATTCAAGGTGCTACACATAAAGGAATAAATTAGCAAAATTTGTGGGATTAGAAATGCAAGCAAGAAAAATTTAAATAGACATTCTACATGAAGTAAAAGTAGAAAATTGAGATGTTTCCCTCCATCTTCTTTGACTTCTATTTGACTTTTAGGAAAAGAAGTATATCCATGTCCATAATAAAAAACAAAAGTTGTAAAAGAAAAAATAAATAAATGAAACCCTGATCGTAAAAGCGAAAAGTTTTTATGGAGAAGGCCCACCCAGGAAAACAACAGGCTAAGGATCATAATCACAGGGTTAACTGAATCACAGGGAGGCAAATGCCTCCATAACTAAACACAGATTATGTGATTTTAAAACTACCATATAACAGATTCTCTCCTCCCTGTTTAGAGGAGAGAATTTTAAATTTTAAAACCTGTTTTAAACTCAATTGGAAAAGAGAGTTAAAAATAAATGTATTTCTGTTCTTACCTCCACACAGTCAAAGTTCTCGTCAACTTTAGATGCATATTCAACACGGAACATTGTTGATAGGCTGCCAGCCATATAGTATAACAGGATCTTCAGACCCTTGTAACCAAAAGCAGTTTCACTGAAATGAAAAAAAAATAGCAATCATCAAAATGAATTTTTGCAGAGTCATGAAAAAGTATTAACTCTACATATAAGTTTAATTTCATGAGTAGTTTCAAGACTTATTTAAAATATTTATGTTCTAAAAAAAGAAACAAATACTAAATATTTGCAATGAAACTATGCCTCAGTTTTCATTTATAAAATAGAGTAACAGTGCCTAACTCGGCAACGTTGTTTGGGTTAAATGAGTAAGTTAGAACATGTAAACCACTTACAACACTGATTAGCACATTGTGTAAGTACTCAATAAATGTTAGATATTACTACTACTGCCATTGTTGCTGTTGCTACTATTACTAGTACTAGAAGGCATTTCAAAAAGATGAGTAGTGTTAAACTAGGACCTGGCTAGGTAAGCAGCTAAGACCTAGCCTTAGACCAGCCCTTCCAACTTATCACTTGCTTCTACCATCAACTGCCAGAGCTGCTGAAAGCCGTGATAGCACCTATTTAATTACACTTAAACCCCTCTATGAACTCAGAGGGCAGATCTGGAGCTGCTGTTAATTTTTCCAACCCTGCTCCCTGCTATCACATCTATGCTTTGCTATCCCCTTTTCCAGCTTAAAAAGAGTCTTCTAAAAGTGAATTCTAAAATATCCGGAATAAGTAAATCTATAGAGATAGAAAGATTAGTAACCACTTAGGTGGGACAGGAGGGGTGGGAGGTGGAGGTGAAGGGATGTGACTGCTAACAGATTATGGGGTTTCTGATGTGAGTAATGAAAATGTTCTAAAACTGATTGTGGTGAATGATTACACAACTCTAAATATACCAAAAACCATTGAACTGCACACTGCAAATAAATGAAATACATGATATGTAACTATATATCAATAAAGGGTTTTTTTGTTTTTTTTTTTTTTTGATTTTTGGGCCAGGCTTGGTGGCTCACACCTGTAATCCTAGCACTCTGGGAGGCCCAGGTGGGATGATTGCTTGAGGCCAGGAATTCAAGACAAGCCCAAGCAAGAGCAACACCCTGTCTCTCCAAAAAACAGAAAAATTAGTCAGGTGTGGTGGTGCACACCTATAGTCCCAGCTACTTGGAAGGCTGAAGCAGGAGGATGGCTTGAGCCCAGGAGACTGAGGCTGCAGTGAACTATGATGACGCCACTGCACACTAGCCTGGGCAACACAAGCGAGACCATGTTTCAAAAAAAAAAAAGAGAATTCTGAAAGAAGAGTGCTTAAAAGAAGCAGTGTCGTTTCCAGATTTTTGTCTACGCTACCAAAATAAAATGTGAGCACTGTCCATTCCAGGGACTCTGAAAGTTATGTGAAGAAGATAGGAGTGGCAATGATACTAGGATGAAGACTAATATCATACTTGGGTCATAAGATACAGGGATATCACAAATATGTTACTGTCCCCTGTCTACCTCAGAAGAGTGGTATATAAGCACACCACTTTCAACGATACCATGCAAAACAGATAGGTAAATGTGCAAAATGCCATTAAGAAGCAGTATCTGTAAAATTAGATCTTATCCACTTAGACTGTGGTCCCCAACCCCCGGGCTGCGGACCAGTATCAGTCCGTGGCCTGTTAGGAACTGGGCCGCACAGCAGGAGGTGAGCAGCAGGCAAGCAAGCGAAGCTTCATCTGTATTTACAGTTGCTTGCCATCGCTGGCATCACTGCCTGAGCTCTGCCTCCTGTCAGATCAGAGGTGCCATTAGATTCTCATAGTAACACAAACCCTACTGTAAATCGTGCATGCGAGGGATCTAGGTTGCACACTCCTTGTGAGAATCTAATGCCTGATGATCTGAGGTGGAGCTGCGAAGGTGATGCTAGCACTAGGGAGTGGCTGCAAATACAGATTATCATTAGCAGAGAGGTTTGACTGCCCAGAGACCATAATAAATCAATTACTTGCAGACTCGTATCAGGACCCTATCAGTGAGTGGCAAGTGACAATTAAGCTGTATTTGGTGGCGGCTTTATAGTGGCAAGTATACTTCAATCGTACTGCTGCATCTGGTGGCAGGCTTTAAGTCAGAATCTGACACTTATTTCAGACCTCGCGTAGCCCACCTATTATTTTATTTACCGCTTCTGTCCATGTCTCTTTCCCGCACTGCCCACTTGTCTCAGTCACAGTTTTGGTAAGCCCACAAGCCAACCCTAGCAAAAATGAGTAAAAAAACAAACATCTCTGGAGAGCTTCTTTGAAAAGGGGGAAAGACCCAATGATGAGATAGCAGAAGACTCTAAGACTGCCAACAAAATGAAAGCTACATTTAAAAGAAAATACCAAGAGTCCTACTTAAATTACAGGTTCATTGCAACAGGTGATTCACATTCTCCAAGCCCACTTTGTATAATATGTGGCAACCATCTATCCAATGAAGCCCTGAAACCTTCAAAACTGCTTCGCCACATGGAAACCAAGCATCCTGCATTAAAAGACAAGCCTTGGCCGGGCGCGGTGGCTCATGATGTAATCCTAGCACTCTGGGAGGCCGAGGCGGGTGGATCGCTCAAGGTCAGGAGTTTGAGACCAGCCTGAGCAAGAGCGAGACCCCGTCTCTACTAAAAAATAGAAAGAAATGATCTGGACAACTATAAAAATATAGAGAGAGAAAAAATTAGCCGGGCATGGTGGCACATGCCTGTATTCCCAGCTACTGGAGAGGCTGCGGCAGAAGGATTGCTCGAGCCCAGGAGTTTCAGGTGGCTGTGAGCTAGGCTGACGCCACAGTACTCACTCTAAAAAAAAAAAAAAAAGACAAGCCTTTGGAGTTTTTCAAAAGAAAAATCATGAACACGAAGAGCAGAAGCAATTATTGAAGGCCACCAATTTATCAAATGTGTCTTCACTAAGAGCATCATTCTTAGTGGCTAACTGCATTGCTGAAGCTAAGAAGCCCTTTACTATTGGTAAAGAGTTGATCCTGCCTGCTATTAAGGGCATTTGCTGTGAACTTTTAGGAGAGGCTGCAGTTCAAAAGCTGGCACGTGTTCTTCTTTTGGCTAGCACAATAACTAGACGAATTGATGAAATAGCAGAATATACTGAGGGACAATTGTTAGAGAGGATTAATGAGTCACCATGGTATGTAATCTAGGTTGACAAGTCTACCAATGTTGACAACAAGGCAACGATGCTTGTTTGTGTGATATATTTTTCAGAAGGATGTGCATGAGGATATGTCACATGCACTTTTGCTGCCAACCAACACCACAGCTGCAGAACTATTCGAGTCTTTGAGTGATTATATATCAGGAAAATTGAATTGGTCATTTTGTGTCAGTATATGCATGGACAGAGTGGCTGCCATGACCGGATGGCTTTATGGTCAAGAAGGTCATTTCTGAATGTGAGCCTACGCACTGTGTTCTCTATAGAGAAATGCTGGTTAGCCAAAAAATGTCACCTGAACCTAACAATGTTTTGCAGGATATGATTAAAATTATTAACAACATTAAAGCACATGCCCTTAACTCATATCTGTTCGTGCAGCTCTGTGAAGAGATGGACACGGAGCACACACGTCTTCTCTTATACACAGAAGTGAGATGGCTTTCTAAAGGTAGATCACTGACCAGAGTTTTTGAGTTTTGAGAGCCACAACAGGGATTGCTTTTAGAAAGAAAATCACCACTGGCAGCACATTTCGGTGACACAGAATGGGTCGCATAACTTGCTTACTTTTGTGACATATTCAACCTGCTCAACGAACTCAATCTGTCACTTCATGGGAGAACAACAAGTGTGTTCAAGTTGGCAGATAGAGTGACTGCATTCAAAGCCAAACTGGAATTATGGGGGTGACGAGTGAACATTGGGATTTTTGACATGTTTCAAACATTAGCAGGGATTTTGAAAGAGGCTGAGCCAAGGCCTTCTTTCTCCCAGCTGGTGCATGATCACCTATCTCAGCTTTCAGAAGAGTTTGAGCATTACTTCCCAACCACAAAAGACCCCCAAAGTGAGAAGGAATGGATCTGTGACCCATTTGTGAATAAGCCAGGTGAATCAACTTTGTCGGTGCTAGAAGAGGATCAACTGCTTGAGATCACAAATGACAGTGGCCTTAAAAGTATGTTTGAGACAACCTAAAATCTCCACCCGTTCTGGATTAAAGTCAAGGCAGAATATCCTGAGATTGCCACAAAAGCACCAAAAAGCCTGCTTCCATTTCCATCCTATCTTTATGAAGCAGGGTGTTCGGCAGTGACAGCAACCAAAACAAGATTACAGAGTAGACTGTACATAAGCAACACACCTTGGGTGCCACTGTCTCCCATCACCCCCAGATGGGACCATCTAGTTGCAGGGAAACAAGCTCAGGGCTCCCACTGAGTCTGTATTATGGTGAGTTGTATCATTACTTCATTATATATTAGTATTACAATATAATGATAGAAATATAGTGCACAATAAATATAATTTGCTTGAATCATCCTGAAACCATCCCTCCCATCCCCAGTCCATGGAAAAATTGTCTTCCATGAAACCAGTCCCTGGTGCCAAAAAGGGGACTGCTGCACTAAGATATTATGACAGGAAGAGATTTTTAGAAATAGTAAAAAGAGAATAAAATAAATCTCCCCTTAAAGATAGAAATCCAAAGAGGAAACATTCTCGGGCCAGCCATGGCGGCTCACACCTGTAACCCTAGCACTTCAGGAGGCCAAGATGGGAGGACTGCCTACCAGAAGTTTGAGGTTGCAGTGAGCTATGATGGATGCCACAGCACTCTAGCCTGGGCAACAGAGCAAGACTCAAAAAAAAGGAAAAAAAGAAAAAAGAAACAAAGAAAATATTCTTATTTTTAATGATAAAATAAAACTTGTTTAAAATACAAAAGGCTGAAATTTTGGCATGAATCTCTATATAATAAAATGTAACTATTAATATTTAAAAGCATATAAAATGCTTAACCTAATACATTAATAATGAGACATTCTCAGGAAATTTGTTCCATGAAGAAACATTTTTCAAT